AAAAAAAAAAAAAAAAAAACGAAAAAAAAAAAGAAAGAAAGAAAGAAAGAGGGGGAAAAAAAATAGAGAATTATTATCAGGAAAGGAAGAGAAAGAATTTTTTCAACGAAATATAAGCGAACACTTCGTTGTCTTCTTTTTTTATCGACGAAATATATTACGAACAAAAATTAAGGAAGAATATTTAAGAGAAAAATAATACGACATTAGAGAATATAACGCAAGCTTGTGCGGTATAATGGCGGCTATTATTATGTGATTTATCGATATAATTCCACGGACCGTGATTTTAATCAACTTTTTAAATCGCTAACCCGTTACGTAGTTTAATTATAATTAAGCATTGTTCCATTTTTATGCGCGGACAGAGGCGTGTTAATATCGAGTCGAAACAGTGTGCGAATAATATCTATGACAATCTTGTTCGAATTGACAAGACAAACTATTTTTCCTTTTTACTGCCAGGTATCACTATTTCTATTTGCGGAGCTGCCTTGAGGAGCAAACGCTTATTGACATATACTATAATACATACACACACACACACGCACACACATACACACACAACAGACACACAGAGATAGAAACAGTGAAGAAAGAAAAAGAAAGAAAAAGAAAGAAAAAAAAAAGAAAGAAAAAAAAAGTAACGTGTGAGAGTAAGTGGAGAGATAATAAAATATAAATATAAAATCTCATTTTTCTCTCTCTCTCTCTCTCTCTCTCTCTCTCTCTCTCTCTCTCCTCTCTCTCTCTCTCTCCTCTCTCTCTCTTTCTCTCTGTTCTCGACGAACAACACGATGAGAAAGAGAGAGAAAAAGAAAAAATATTGGAGAAAGGAAGAAAAATGCATTGTGCAATTTTACACATACACGTACACGTACTTTGTACAGAAATAATATACATAGCGCGTATTTTAGTGATTATTATTATTGTTATTATCATCACTGCGATCCTCGTTGATTTTCGATCACGCGTTTCGATCGTGGAAGCATCGATCTTGAAACAAAAAAGAAAAAAAATATATATATAAATATATATATATATATATATAAATATTTGTCTACGAATATCGGATATATCGATATATAGTTCTTCTAAAAATTGATCGAGTAGAGTAGAGAGAGAGAATCCGGTGATTTGATTAGTAAAACACGTAGACATTGTAATTAATTGGATTAGATCAAAAGAATTCGTTTTCTTACGAAAGAGGAGAAAAAAAAAAAATGAAAGAATCGAAACGTGTTTCGATGTCTTGCACGCTTAATACCCCTCCCCTCGAAGCTTCCTGTCTCTGCAGCATGTGATCGTCATAAAGCTCGCGTAAATTCGCGTCGAAACCAAATCGAAAATGGGGAACTCGTCGATATCTTCTGTTTCGATGAATTTCGTCGTGATCGAGAAATAATAATAAAAAAAAAAAAAATCAAAGTCTTAACTGAAATATATCGAAAGCGAAGTTATTAAAAAAACGATTTTTTTAATTGTAATTTATTGAAACTCGTACCATACCATTTCTATTTTATACATTTTTCTTTTAAATTAATTTAAAGATAAAAAGATATTAAAATCGCAAAGAAGATTCAACAAATTGTGAAAAATTAATGAAAAAAAATAAACAGTAAAGTAGCTTATATTCCAATTTTTCTCGTCGAGAAAATTTTCAAGAATTTTCTAATTCTTGAAAATTCCTAAACATTTTCCAAATATTTGCAACTCGATCCTCGAACGAATCTCCATCGATATCGGAAAATTTAATCGGGCGAGTTTCCCGCTGCGAACGTAAGTCGTTACGGCGTGTCGATTCTATCCTTCTAAAATAGTAACTTAGTTTTAACGATCGTCCAATGGGGTGAGAGGATCGGATGATCGATCTCTCTCGTAAACCCGTAGGTGAACTCAGTTGTTCGATACAATAAGCAAAGCAAAGAAGCAAAGAAAATTTAAAAAAAGAAAAAAAGAAAACAAACAAAAAAAAAGAAAAATGAAGTAAAAAAAAAAAAATAAAAAAGAATTTTTCAACTTCGCGATCGAGAAGGTGTCGGGCGGGATAGATAGGGGAGGACGATTGAGAAAGGGGGAAGTAGGGTGGAATACGAAGACCTTCTCTAAGCTAGAACCACGGAGACGCAGGTGATTAAAGGAACAATGTAAGATAGGGAGATGAAGCGTCTCTCTCGTTCCATTGGTCGAGCGCTGTGGCTACCGTGTAGTCGAACAAATATATCCATTAATTTCCGGATTGCCTGATGCGTGTTGTATGTATGCACCGTATGCGTGAGAGTGTTTTAATTATATTCGAGAATAGTGGAGAAAATGCACTAGAGTGAAGAACGAGCGAGAGAGTAACGTTGAAGGTCGATAGTATTTTAGAGGGTTGAAAACGAAATTTTTTTTTTTTTAAGAGGAGGAGGAGGAGGAGGATGAGGACGAGAGTTGAAAATGGGGAAAAAAGTCGAGGAGAGAGCATGGAACAAATGTGAAATTCTACTCGACGATGTTTTCTCATTTTCCTTTTTTCTTCTATTTTTTTCTTTTTTGTTTTTTGTTTTTATATATATATATATTTTTTTTTTCTTTCTTTCTTTCCCCGAATAATTTTTCCACCATTTTCGTCGTAGAGGAACCACTCTCGAGGACGGATGATTTAGGAGCGACGTGTACAAAACACGAAAAGCGAAACATATAACGATTTAAATAAATATAAACGATTGTAAATAATTAAACGGAGAGAAGAG